GACATCAGACAATAGAAAATTATTTATTACTAAGAAGAAATGAGCTACCAAGTAATGAAAAGATATAGAGGAACATCAAATGTATATTCCTCAGTGAAAGAAGCCAATCTGAGAAGGCTTACAGGCTGTACAAATCCAACTATAAGACATTCCGGAAAAGGAAAAAGTATAGAGACTGTAAAAAGATCAGTGGTTGCCAGCGGGCAAGGTGGAAAGAGAGATGAATAGGAGGAGCACAGAGGACTTTTAGGGCAGCGAAACTACTCTGTATGGTGCTAGAATGGTAGATACATGTCATTGTACAACACCTAGAGTGAACACTAATTTAAACTATGAACTTTGGATGATAATGATGAGTCAATATGGGTTCATCAGTTATAACAAATGTACTACTCTGATGAGGGATATTGAGAATGGGAGAGGTTGTGCATGTGTGGGAGCAGAGAGTATGTGGGAATTCTCTACTTTTCACTCAATTTTTCTGTGACCTTAAAAATGCTCTAAAAATAAAATCTATTAAAAAAACAAATATGTAGGAATACATCTAACAAATATAAAGGAGATTTCCATACAGAAAACTCAGCTGGGAGAAACTAAAAAATATATTATATTCATGAGTTGGAACTCTTAATATTGTTTAGATGTCCAATATCCTAAAATTGATTTAGTAATTTAAGTCCCAGCAGAATTTTTGTGAAAAATTGAAAATTGTTTCTAAAATTCCTATAACAGCCCAGACAATCTTGAAATTAAAAAAAAAAAAGGTTGGAGAACATACACTGGTAGATAATAAAACTTCTATGAAGCTACAGTATTTATTTTTATTTGTTTTTTTATTTAATCAATATTTTTATTATGATGTTGTGGGGTACAGTTAAGGGTTAGGTATACAAATACGTTTCATTCAGGCACCCTGTTGATAAGAGGTGTTTCCCCATCCCCAGGCAGATATTTGCTACCATTGATCCCATCTCCCTCACCCCCATAGTTTCCCACTACTGTCAGTCATTTTCTTATAGTATTACATTGGATGTTCAAGGTCCGTTATATGAGTGAGAACATTATTATAGACTCTAGTTCTATCCAGGTTGCTGCGAAATTCATGACTTTGTTCTTTTTTTGTGGCTGCGTAGTATTCCATCGTGTATATGTACCACATTTTTTTAATCCAGTCCTCTTTTGATGGGCAGCATGGTTGCTTCCAGGTTCTTGCTATTGTGAACAATGCTGTGATAAACATATGTGTGCAGGTATCTTTTTTATAGAGTGATTTGAATTCTTCAGGATATATTACCAGTAGGGGGATCGTGGGGTCATATGGGAGGTTGATATTTAGAAGCTACAGTATTTAAAACTGAATATTTTGATCCAAGTAAAGATAGATTATTGAAACAGAATAGAAAGTTCAAAGCAAACCTATCTTCACATATGCAGATATTTATGATAAAGTTACCATTATAGGTGGTAGAAATGATGAATAGTTTAAAGAAAATGTTTCTGGGTTAAATATATATTCAGGTGGAAAAAAGTGAATCTTGACTTACATATAAAAATCTATTCCAGATAGAATATAAACATAATTTGGAAAAGTAAAATAATCAAGTTTCCAGAATTAAGTGTAGAAGAATATCTTCACTGGGATTTGAAAAGGTATTCTAAATGGAACAGCAAAAGTATTAAGTATAAAATAAAAATCAATAAACTGAGCTTCTTACTATTAAGAAGTTTTGCTTATCAAAGAATACCATCAAGAGAATGAGACTATAAGCCATAGCCCTTCATATATTGTGACACTTGCCATCATATATCTGTCAAGTTACTCTTATTCACAATATTGAATACAAACTACCAATTAAAGAATACAAACTACCAATTAAAATTGGCCAAAAACTTCAACAAGTACTTCATAAACAAGCATATCCACATAGCAAATAAAGACATGAAAAGATTCTCTATATCATTAATCATGAGGAATAGCAAACAGCACACCCACTAGAATGGCAGACACCATTAACATTGTCGGTAAGGATGTAGAACAACTGGAATTCTCAAATATTTCTGGTTGGAACATCCACGTTGGGAAACTATTTAGAATTGTTCCCCAAAGCTAAAGATATAACTACATAAAACATGGATAAATCACACAGGCATAAGTCTAAGCAAAAGAAACACAAAAGAGTACTTACTGTACGTTTTTGTTATTGTTGTTGTTGTTGCTTTGTTGTTTTTTTTTTGAGTTGGAGTCTCACTCTGTCGCCCAGACTGGAGTGCAGTGGCCGCTCCCGGCCACCACAGCCTTGACCTGCTGGGCTCCGGTGATCCTTCCGCCTCAGGCTTCCAAGTAGCCGGAATTACAGGCATGCGCTACCAGGTCCGGCTGATTTTTTGATTTATTGTAGAGATGAGGTCTCGCTGCCCAGGCGGGTCTCGAACCCGCGGGCTCAGGCAATCCACTCACCTCAGCCTCCCAAAGGCACGGGATTACAGGCTGAGCCACCAAGCCCGGCTACTGTATGATTTTATTTATATGATAGTTCAAGACTAGGAAACACTAGTTTATGGTTATTGAAGTCTACACTGACACTATACTTTGTTTACCTTTAGAGTAGGTATTTGTTAGGAGACACTCTTTGAAATACTGGAAATGTTCTATAACTCTTTCTAGATCTGAGTCAAACAGGTGTATATAAATATTAAAAACTTATCAAGCTATACCTTTAATATTTATACACTATCTTGAATGCACATCTTTCTTTGATTAATCTTTAAAGTAATATTTTTAAATGTCTGTAACATAAAGTTAGCCAGCCAACTAAAAACTGGAGAAAACACACACGACATAATATTCTTAACATTAATGAGTTTTACAAATAAATAAAGAATTACAGAGTATAAATATGGACACATAATGTGAATAAGGAGTTCACAAATGAAATGCAAATGATCAAGACATATGTGGAAAGTAACTCGAACCCATTAATGGGCAAATAATTCTAAGTCAGCATCCAACAATATTTTTCACTTAGAGGAATGGCAAGGGTGAAAAAAATGGATAATGTGTAAGGTTAGTTAATGCTTAAGGAAACAAGTACTTGACTATATTTTTAAATAAGGTTATAAATTTTCACGACCTTTCTGGAGCTACTATGTTGTTATGCATTAATCTTTGTAATATGTATTAAAATATAAAATGATCATATACTTCAATCCAGCCATTCAATGTCTATGGATTTATCTTTGGGAAATAATTATAATAACATTAATAATATCTGTTTACCTATATAGTTTAGTATATACAAGGCACGGTGCCTAGCACTTAATTCACTCAATGAATAAATATTGAGCATCTATTACATGACACATGCTTGAAAACAGTAATGCTTAATATGACATTGCCTCATTTGATTCTCACATTGGCACTGTAGGATATCAATATCAGTATCATCATTATCTTAAAGTTGGGGTGACTACAGTTTAGGGACATTAAACAGTTTTGCCAGGTCATATAGCTAGTAAGTGGGGAGATGGAATTTGAACTCAGGCAGGACAGCACCAAAGTATAGGGTCTTAAGGAACTGTGCAAACAGATAACTGCTCAAAAAGATATGTATGGATGTATGTGTATAGCTGTGTGTTTACAAGTAGATTGAGAGATGACAGATAAAAATAGAAATATAGATGTAGCTACAGATGTATAGATATATGGTATTTTCTATCAAATAACTGCTAATAATATCAAAATACTAGAAAACCTAATCTAAATGTTCATTGTAGAAGCTCATTTGAAAAATATGTATTACAACCATAAAATTGTACACAACGCAGTCATTTTAAATAAGAAGGTATATCAAGATGAGAACTTATATTGACATAAAATGTTGTTTAAAACATTCGAAGAAGTATTTATTTTTAGAGAGCTTAGTGAAAGCATATGTATTGTAATTTTATTTTTAGAAAAATATATTTATAACTATATCACTAGCTAAAATTGTACTAAAAATCTGGACAAGTATAAAAAATTTAAATTATATCTATCTCTGAAGATAGAAAGATGGAAAATACTTTCTGTTTTACAGAGTTCCATATTGTTTAAATTTTTCATATAATAAGCATGCATTATACAATAATATAAAATAATATTTTCATTTAAAGTGTAGGCATTTAAAAACCATTGTGCTAGATATTTCAAAAAAGATTATTCTAATTTTCAAGTTGTTTTTTAAAAAATATATTGTGTATGTTATCTTCTTAAACTCCGTGGCCCATTTTTAGTGTGGGGAACTACTAATATAAATATCATAGTCCAGTTTATTACATGTTAATATTATTTATCAGTTTCTAATACTCTATAGCCCTACTTTAACAATGTTCTACATTAAAATCCAAACCCTCCAAAAAAGAGAAAATATAGTTTGTCAAATATTGATCTTACTTTTAAAATTGATCAGAATAGAGAAGTTTTCATTTTAATGCTTCCTATATGTACTGGGTTGAAGAGTGGACCCCAAAAGATATATCAACCTGGAACCTGTGACTTTGACTTTAATTTGGGAAAAAGGAATTTGCAGGTGTCATCAAGTTAAGGATCTCAAAATGAGATCATCTTGGATAAGGGTGAGTCCTAAATCCAATGACAAGTGTTCTTATGAGTGAAGAAAAGGAGAAAAGATTTAGAGGAGAAGGATATGTAGAGACAGAGGCAAAGATTGGAATTACAAAGCTGCAAATCAAGCAGCACCAAAGATTTCCAGCAGCCACCAGAATGAGAGAGGCATGAAATGGATTCTCTGCTGAACCCTTAATTTCAGACTTCCAGCCTCCAAACCTGTGAGAGAATAAATTTCTATTGCATTAATCTGCCACCCAGTTGGTGGTAATTTGTTACAACAGTCCTGGGAAATGAATACACCTTGGTATTTTAAAATATTATTTGTTTGATGCATTTTTTAGGAATAATGTAATTGGATGAAATAAATAACATTCTGAAGTCAGAAGCTTACCATTTAAACTCTGTCCTATTTGCATAGTACCAGAGGCAAAATCTGTAACTGAACCACTTAGAGTTCTTGCATCAAAAGCTGTGTGGTCCTTCTCCAAACCATTGATAAAGAAGCTGATTTCTGTCTGATGCACCTGCAAGAAATTATCACCATATTACTTTAAATGCATATATTATTATTTTATAACAACATTTCAGCAGTCTTTTACAAGTTACTTTCATGATTTTCTACTTTGTTCAGTTGGAAGTACTAAAAAATTTTATTTGATTTACTAGTACAATAACATCTCTGTGTGTTTACAGATCTAGATATAAGCCTACATATTGTCATTTTGTGCTTGATGCAGGTGAAATTAAGTTAAGGAACTCAAGATGAGCTCAACTTGGATGATACCTATCTTTAAAGGTATACATAATAGTTTATTCTATACATGTAACATACCTTTATAAATTTTTTTGCGGATATGTTGTTTCTCTAAATACTAATTCAATCTGTTATGGCTATATTTGGAAATAAAATAGAAATAAACACAATAGGAAGAAACAATCAACATCAGATATATGAAAAGTCTATTGCATATGGATATAAATGAATTTTAAGTTAATATATAAAATACTTTTTGTAAATATTTACTTTCTTAGGTGTTGGTATTCAGATGGCCATTTTCAGATACACTTTCAAAATTATAGGATAACAAAAGTTTGCCAATCATATTCTAGACTAATCAGTCAAGCAGTCTAATCATTGTCTACATTAGAGGTTAGCAAACCTTTTCTATAAATGACCAGAGAATCCTTTTCTTTGCAAGTCAAATGATTTGGTTTTGTCAGTCAAATGGACTTTGTCACAACTGCTCAACTCTGATACTCAAAGGCAAAAGCAGTCATAGACGATATATAAACAAATGAGCATGGCTGTGTCCAAATAAATCTTTGCTTCCAAAAACAGGTGGTCAGTCAGATTTGACCCATAGGTTGGAGTTTGACAGTCCTTAGATTGCACCATAAAAAGTTACAGAATTTGTGTTCATGTGAGTCCTGAATAGACAATCCAATCAAACTTTTATGCAGAACACCTTATAGATAGTCTCTGCACAAAAATCATTGAAGATTACTTATATTTCTGAATAAACTAATCATCTGTTTGACATCCATTTTAGTCTCTACAAACAGTCCTTCTGTTCAAATGCGTTTAGCTTAAATGTAAAAGGAACCATCAGTACTCTATTAGTAAAGGAGCTGAAAGGAGAAACAAAAGACTCAGGAGAGGTGAAGGAGTTGCAGGGGGAGGAGAGAGAGACTCAAACAAGTGAAATGTTGGATGCCAACATTTTAATAAAGAATATATCAAACCATTCCAAATGCCATTCTACTATGGACTTTGAGTGACAGTGATGTATCAATGTAGGCTTACCAATTGTAGCAAATGTACCTCTCTGATGCAGAGTTTTGATAGTGGGGAAGGTGTGGGAAAGGCTGCAGGTATGTGGGGGTAGGGAATGAATGGGAAATCTCTGTATCCTCTACTCAATTTTGCTGTGAGCCTAAAACTAGTCTAAAAACAAATTGCATTTGTAAATGCTTTTCTGTTTAAAAAAAACCTTGCAATTATTGTTGAAAATATACATTCATTCGCAACATCTTTAAATCATTATGTGAATTACTGTCTTAAAAACCTTTTTTAAAAACCCTCCTCTTAAAAAACAATAAATAAATAATAAGACAAAACAAAAAAACCTGGAATTTAACATTATAATTATTTGGTAATACAAATTCATCAAAAAGTTCACCAATATAGCTTTTCACCATTCTAAACAACCTGATTTCATTTAAACCACATTCTTTCTTAAATCCACAGACCCAGTGCTACATTTGATTTAATTTTAAAACAAAGCTTTAATAGAATTAAAATTATACACCAACTCCTTGCAATCCTGGATAAATTCTTCTTTACTGGGTAGTAGGGCTGCATTTTTTTTTTTTTTTTTGCATCCCATTTTTTACAGCCTGTTACTGTCATTTGCTGTTTGACTGTTATCATTATAAAAGATACAGGCTTCTCTACTTTGTTATTTGTAGCATTATCTCATGTTTTACAACATCTTTGCGCAACATGCAGGCACATGAAATATAACTAGTGAAAAGTTCTCGGTGGTATTAATGCATAAAAAAGAATGTGGTTCCATCTCTACTGTCTTTCCCCAGCCAAAAGCTGATGAACAGCCAATTTTCCTTTATCACATTAGCACAGCCATGAGGGAAACACATTTGTTCTAGTCAGCTACACTAAAGATACTATTACCAATCTAACATATACATGTTTTATATCAGCAGTATTCTCAGAGCATGAGAGAGCCAACAATATATTAACACTAGCATGACAGTTTATTTAAGAAAAGAAAATTGTCTCTGTAGAGGGACAGAAGTTAGAAATGTATGGCTAAAGCTCAGTGTCACTGGTCTAATAAAGGTCATAATTCTTAGACTTTCTTTATAGCAGGTAACACTCCTGTGACAGTTCTGTCATATCATTCAAATAAAAATGTTGTCTTTTACAAGTTTAAGTGCACCTTTATTTTGAGTCAGATAGAAAGCATGCTTTTGATTTTCTGTATTCACTGTATTATATCTGTTGTCAAGAGTTCAGGACCTTTTTCTTTTTTTAATCAACTCATCACATATTTGCTTAGTAGAAGAATTCAGTGTTCCTTGCAGTGAATTCCAGAAGGATATTTTCACTTTGTTGGTACTTAAAAAATGATTAATGATGATCCCATGCTACTCTCTTCCATTGCCCCCTCCCCTACCAACCACCTTTCTATAAATAAGATTAAATCTTCTTTGATTTTCTGCACCATGTTTTATGTTCCCTGATTCTCTAAACTATTTTACAATTCTGATCTGGGGTCCCATCACACTGAAACTGTGAAGACTGAGGTGGCTTTCTGCAATAGCTCATTCTGATGATCCCCTTGCCAGTTATTTAGGGGAATACATACAATGGAATTTCTGATTTGTGAAAAGAAAGCCTTCTGCTAGAGTAAACATCCCACCTATCTCATTCTCTAGCCCTATGAAGATTAGAGTAGCTTGTGCATGTTTATTGGTGTGCCATAAATGAATGCATCCATTGGCTGCTGCAGAAAAGCCTTTAAATCCCTCTCATAAGAGATCCAAAAACACTTTAGAAAGAAGATATAGAGGAGTAGGTCATTGTCAAACCTTCATTCTCTTGGAGTTTCATATTTTATTTAAACCACTTACATAGTCACATTTGTGTCCCTTAGATAGGTTGTACTCATCCCTTTGACTGCAAGAGTATACAAGACACTTTTAAAGTATAGTTTCTGACACTATCCTCCCATTTTCATACCTGACTAGTGGGGAGTATAACTCGAAAGTCCAGAAAGCCACACAGTAACTGAACAACTATCAAGGGAAAAATATAATTAAGTCAACTTAGACTATAGTAATATTCTACAATCACCTGTTCCATTGAAATGCCAGATCTTTGTTGCTATTCTCCTCCTACTGGCCACCAACCACCAAAAGAAATGACTGACTCTGACTGGGAAATAAATAGGCAGAGTAATATGATGACTTTCTTATGGACAAATGATTTTCCCATTACCTATAATCTTCTAATTTAAATTTCACTCATAAAACATAAACTAGTACCCAGAGTGGCCCTATGAGCTGTATCAAGAAAAGTAAGTCATGATCCTTTCTCTCAAGAAGCTGTGTAGACAACAACAGAATAATTTTAATATACTAGATAATATTTGAATCATTATAAATGATGATGGTTTTTTGTGTAAATACTGAATTTAATGCAATCCCTGAAATGTATTTTTTCAAGGAGTTGCTCTAAGAAATTATGTCTTAATGTGTTAGTATGTGTGGTGTATAATATATTTTTGGACCTTCTCAGTGGGACTTGACTTCCCAGAACCAACTTACAAGCTTCCCAAAATACCAGTTTTATTAATTTGATGAATCTCATTCTCAAGTGAAATCAGTTTGTGCATTCTGATAACATCTTTTTAATAGATTAACATGAAGCAATTTGGCAACATAGCTTAAATTCAAGTTCATCTTAAAAGATGATGATGGACAATACAAATGTAAAGAACATCATTTTGAATGCTAAGAAATTCAAGCAAGAAACAAAATCACTGTGATATGAATCAGAAGAGAAAACTTTATGGAGGAGAAAAGTCTTAGACTTTCTGAAATAGAAATTGCCCTGAAATAGAAATTTCTATTTCTAAGTGAACGAGGATTTGCATAAAAGATTCCACTATTGCATCTATAATTTTTAAGTAAAAGTAAGGCAATGTATCCTGAAAACTCTATAAGTTTATTTTAAAATATCACATGTATATTATATGCTCCCCTACCTAAGAACACGTGGAATCCTCACACATCCCATCCAATTGCTCACTATCCTAAAGCTAAGGTCTTCTGAGTTTTTTCTTCATCTCATCCAATTTTATTTCTAACCTTCACCAACAGCCAATCTCCAATCTAATCAGTAGGGCTTTCCTACTATCTAATTGGTAAGGTCTCCTAGCTGTCTGATGATTACACAATATTTACTCCCATCTCCATGATTCATTCTAGCTATTTTCATATGGGGCTTTGCCTAAATTTTTAGTATTTTTTCAAACATATATCTCAAGTCCTATATTTTCTAATAGTCCCTTGTCATCTACTTCAGCATTATAAAAGTAGTTAACACGCATTTAAAAATTATGTCAGGCATTATTCAAAGTTTTTATGTATATTCGTTTACTTTATCTTTATAGAAACTAAAGGCAGGTTTGCTATTATCTCTTTTCTAAATGATGAAACCAAAGCACAGAGAATTGAAAACAAAAATTATTCAAGGTCATACCGAAGGCTGACTGCTTTCAGAGCCAGTTTTAAATAGCTAATTTTAATTAGTTAGTTATATTTGAAGCAATAGTCATTTAATTTATTGGATCCATCCATCTCTTCTTCTATCACTCTACTCAGTGATGATTCAGGCTCCATGTCAACACCTCCCACAATGAGAAGAGTAACATTCCCTGCCTGGTATAACCACTTGACATGTGCCCAACATTGTGCTAAATATTTTTCTATATCTTCT